TTATTTACTGTGGGGTGTTTAACAGGACATCTGTCTTTGATCTAGAACACCTCGTGTGTATTCATGATAGAGTTAATAAAGTTTAATATCAAAAACTCAACAGTCCCTAAATGATGCAAGAGGATGTATTAATTTCTTTTCAGTTGACTTTGTATCTAATTTCTCAAATTAGAAATTAGATCGTAGAAAGTGAAATCCTTTTTCTTCTCTGGCCTCCAAACCCACCACCATGACCTTCATCCCTAATAGAACTTCCAACAACTTCTTTCAACTTCTCTCCTTTCCAGTTCAAAGTTGACTCTGAATTTGCATGTTCTCCTCCTTTTAAACAATCTTAAAGGAAAGGTGATCCTTGTCTTTTCCAAACTAACCTCACAACTTAGGCCCATCCTCTCCCATTACTTCTAAAACCCAGGCCATTAGTCACTTTCAGTCTCTGCATGCTGGCTTCTTCTTCCCCTCCTGGTATCCCCAGATGAAAGTATTCGTTGCATCTGGATTCATACAAATTTCATATTCAATAGCATCCTTCCTAATGGCCTACCAAAAAGAAATCTCTATTAGCTGAAATCCATCTTTTATGCCCATAACCTGTGCAAATGCAACATGATGTAATTGGTCTTGATGCCAACTCATAAAAACCCACAAGATGCTCACTGCTCAGCTTCGAAAGCCATATGTGTGTGAAAGAATACATCTTTCTCAGGAGGCAATCTGGCTGGTTTTGGTCCTTGGAAAATTAGAAAGGGACAATATTCAAAGAATAATTTTATTTGAATGAATGAAGTAAAATTTTAAAACATCATAGTAAGTTATGGTAGCCTTAATCAGTTTTCATTTTCTGATGTCATTTTAATGCCAGTATTTATAAAGACAGAATTGTTACTTTGTATTAAATTGATTTCTCTGAATGTGATGTTTAAAAGCAAAAATTCATTTAAGGTAATTCTGAAAACTCTCTCGGGAATACAAAATCATGTTGTTTATTTTTCATGCTGAGTACATAAGATCCTGGTTGTTGGAAATTGATATATGGTATGTAAATTATATATTCTTCATCCACTGATAATCTCATGAACTTTTTTTCTTTAAATAAAAAACTAGGTTTTCCTATCATATTTATATTTCTATGTCCTGGTCTATCATCATAAGTTTTTAAAAAATTTACATTTAATGTAAGCCTAAAAACAGCTTAAAATTAAAACACTGTCCATACTTTTTCAATAACTTTTCCATTATTTTAAATGACACTGCAATGATATGAGAAATAAACTACAATGGCATTAATGATCGGTTGACTAGTCATATTCTATAAACTCAATTAAAAATGAGTATGGGCAAAGATTTGGAAAATTACTGGATTCTATTTATTTTGTTTTAAAGTAGTATTACTTAAAGCTCATCTGTTTTAGCAACCAAATCATCTTAATTGTGATTTTTTAACATCAATCACTGATGAGGTCTCTCAAAGTCAACTTCTAAGTCTTTTGTACACATCTTTATTTGAATTAAGAGATTCAATCAAGTTCTTGAAAGGAAAGTCTGTGTCTTATGTTGTGAGAAGAAAACTGCTATGATAGGACCTACATGCAAAATAAAGAAAATAAATATATATATAAGTATTTGGATATATTTCTGTGACATTATTCAAAACTCTTACTCTTCTTCTAAGTCATGAGTTAACATTTATGTGATCATATATTTAAAGAACAGAGTAGTTAGAGACCTAACTAGCAAACTAAGTGTATAACAAAAGATAGAAATAAAAAAATTATCTTGTATAGATTCACAGAAAAGGGTACTTTGGAGCACTCTAATTACAGCCTTTAGTAAACTGTCTTCACACAGTGATGGTCATATTCAGATAATTTTTATATTGTTGTTTAATAACTGATCTCAGTAACAGACTCGTCCTGACTAGGGACTTCAGGGACATGGATGACGTGCCTGAAATAAACCAGAGCTCTACAATTGCTTATATGCTCCCTTCCTTTCCCTTCCATCCCTTCCCTTCCCTTCCCTCTCTCATTCTGGGCTAGAGAAGTATATACGTAATTAGCAGAGGTCAAAATGGTAAAATGGGCAGGCAATCAATCAGCCAAACCATGCACACCTATATATAACCAGGCAGATCCACATACACCAGCGTGTTTCCCCATAAACTAAGCCCAACAAAATTTGACTAACACATTCCATAATGCTTTTGAGAGTTTTCTCATATTCAAGATAAGATTTCAAAAATGTGTGGTAGGTCAAACGTTACATGCTATACCTCAGATGTGTATAAGAAAGTGAAACTCTGTTTTCTATGACAAATACTAAACAAACAAACAAACAAAAAACCCAAAACCAAACTCACTGCCATTGAGTCAATTCCAAAAAAAAAAAAAAAAAACAAACTCACTGCCACTGAGTAGATTCTGACTCAGAGTGACCCCCTTTGAGTTTCTGAGGTGGTAAATTTTTATAGAAGTAGATTGCCCAGTCTTCCTTTTGCAGAGTGGCTGGTGGGTTTGAACCACCAATCTTCCGGTTAGTCAAATGCCTTAGGCACTAGGCCACCAGAGCTTCTATTACAAATGTTGTTGTTGTTAGGGGCCATCAAGTCATCTCCAACTCAACCTTATATACAACAGAATGAAACACTGCCCAGTCCTGTGCCAGCCTCCTGATCCCTGCTGTACCTGAGCCCATCACTGCAGCCACTGTGTCAGTCCATCTCATAGAGGGCCTTCCCCTCTTTCGTCGACCCTCCACTTTACCAAGCATGACATCCTTCTCCAGAGAATGGTCCCTTCTGACAACATGACCAAAGTAGGTGAGACGAAGTCTAGCCATTCTTGCTTCCAAGGAGCATTCCAGCTGTACTTCTTCCAGGGCAGATTTATTAGTTCGTTTAGTGGTCCATGGTACTTTCAGCATTCTTTGCCAACACCACAATTCAAAAGCATCAACCCTTCTTCTGTCTTCCTTATTCACTAACAAATAGTGGTAGGGAATAAATTAATTAAATTTAAAACCCTGCCAATTAAATGTAACAATGCATCTGATTTAAAAGTCTATCAAACACATCCAGAGCAAAAAAGAATGAAGAAAACCAGACACATGGAAACAATTAGTGCAAGGGACTGGTACACTATGTGATCCTCAGCCTATATGACTATGAGACCAGAAGAGCTAGATGGTGCCTGGCTACCACTGTCAACCACTCAGAGAAGGACTGCTGCAGGAGATCCTGGATAGAGTGGGAGAACAATGTGGAACAAAACTCAAAATCATAAAAGAAGAAGAAAAAAAAAAAAAAGACAAGGTTTGCTGGTCTGATAGAGTCTGGTGAGACCCCTGAGACTATGGCCCCTAGTTACCCTTCAAATCTGGAATTGAACTCACTCCTGTGGCTTCCGGCCAAACAATAGACAGGCATATGGGGTGAGCATTTACATCAGATAGATACACTCCTTGGATTGATCAATCATGGGAGAACGGAAGGGCAGTGTTTGGACATGGAGACAGCTCAGGGGGTGGGAATGCATGAGAGCGAAGGGCACAGGGAAGAGGTAACTATGGGGAGGAAGTGGGAAGAGAGCTGTTGCACTGTGGGAAATTGCAGTCAATGTCATGAGACAAAATATGTATGAACTGTGTATGGAACATGAATTTGTGCTGTAAATTTTCACTGAAATCACAAAAATATTTTAAGAAAAGGCTATCAAATAAAACTCAACCACTAAAAGACAACTTAAAAATGGACAAAGGGCTTGAATGGCTTTTTCTCTGAGAAGAGATGCAAAAAGCCAACAAGCACATGAAAAGATGTTCAGTCAGGAAAATGCAAATCAAAACCACAGTGAGGTTATCACTTCAGCCTCATTAGGATGGCCATCATCAAAAACCAAAACAAAACACTACTTACCACAGTAGGATATAGAACCATGTCTTTATAAACCATTTTATGCCAATTGACTTAGCTGTCCCAAGTCTATTGTCCTAAGCCCTCAAGCCCAGTTGATTTATTACTTTAAGGTGTTTGCTTATGGCTAAGAAGTTTTCATAACTTTGCCCTTTGATTGCCCTACCATATGTTGTTGTTGTTGTTGTTGTTATGTGCCATCCAGTTGAACCTGACTCATAGAGACCCCTGCTTGGTTTCCAAGGCAGTATCACTATGGAAGTAGATTTCCCAACCTTTCTTCCGAGGAGTGGCTGCTGGGTTTGAACCACCAGCCTTCTGATTAGCAGTCAAGTGCCTTACGCACTATGCTATATTTATAGCATGTTGTTGTTGTTGTTATATGCCATCAAGTCAGACCTGACTCATAGCGACCCCTCCTTGGGTTGCCGAGGCAGTATCACTACAGAAGTAGATTGCCTCATCTTCCTTCCGAGGAGTGGCTGGTAAGTTTGAACCGCCAGCCTTCTGGTTAGCAGTCAAGTGCCTTAGGCACTACGCTACAGAGCTCCCATATTTACAGCATACACAGATATGTAGAAATATCCTTTGCCAAACCTACATATGGTCATGGTTGAAGTCTCATTCACCTAGCCATACCTGTTCAGCTTCCTGTCTGCCTGTATATCCAGTCATAGGTTAATGTTTATTACTGATACTGCAGGATTGTGTGTGCAATAGTAGTGTTTCGCCTTATTGTCTATAATTCTTGTGCATTTCTCCGTGTCTTCTTTATCTTAGTGGTATTGTGCCAATCATTCCTTTATTGTAAATTGCTTTTCCCTTCACCAAAATTAGTATGTGTCTACTATCTAGTGATTTTCCCTCCCCTTCCCATTCCCATCAAAGAATGCTTCCTTCTATGTGTAAACCTTTCCTTGACTTTTTATAATAATGGACTCATACAACATTTGTTCTTGTGTGATTGACTCACTTCATAGTATAATGTCCTCCAGGTTCATCCAAGTTATGAGGTGGTAGACAGACTGTTTGTATATATACATATTTTTTTAAATTCTATTTTTCCTTTGTTTGTTTTCCTTCTTTTCAGGTTGGAATCCCCTACAAGGTGTCTGAGCATGAATGCCCCCAGGGGTGTTCATATTAAAGCACACGCTGGGAAAATCGAGGCCCTCTCTCAAATGGACATCAAATTCCATAGTAGTGATGGAACGGTAAGCTCAAAAGATCAAGCTCCTATTATATGCCCTGATGACACTCATGAGTATCATGTCCATTAAGGTACCTATACACTAAATTTGGGGTCCATTAAGATATCTGTAGGAGCTCTGGTGGCATAGTGCCTAAGGCATTTGTCTGCTAACCAGAAGGCTGGCGGTTCAAACCCACCAGCCACTCCTCGGAAGGAAGGTTGGGCAATCTACTTCCGTGGTGATACCACCTTGGCAACCCAAGGAGGGGTCATTATGAGTCGGATCTGACTTGATGGCAGTGGGTGGTGGGTAAGGTATCTATACATTAAATTTGGGGTCCTTTGTTTAAAAAAAAAAAAAGAAGTCATGATAGGTAGGTGTAAAGTAGAACATGTAAAAAGAAAGCAAAAGGCAATTCAGCCCTGAAAGGAGGCCAAGAAGAGTTAAAATATCTCTCTTTGGAACCTGGCAGCTTTATTTGATTGGTCTTTGTGCTACCCAGTGACCGGTTAATTCCAACTTTGAGAAAACACTACAGACTTTAAAAACCTACAGAGAATATCAATCTTGCCATTCCCTAGTGATTCAATGTCTTTCAACATTGCAATCACCATTGGGAACATTCTTTAGTTAAAATAAAAGGGGAGGGGCTCAATTGCAGTGAGTCAGAAAATCATGCATGACAGGAATGTTCTTAAAAGCTCTAGAAGGAAATCAAGGGGTTTGGTTTATAAGCTGGATGCCAAACCTGTGACACCATATCATAGAATTGTATGAACAATGGATTTCATCTTTTCTTAGCCCACCCTTAGTTATTTTCATATGTATAAATCATGCTTAAAATAGTAGTCCATAGGTTTTCTTTTAAATCCCCCCATTTTTATAGCAGGAGCTCTGGTAGCATAGTGCCTAAGGCACTTGACTGCTAACCAGAAGGCTGGCGGTTCAAATCCACCAGCCACTCCTCGGAAGGAAGATGGGGCAATCTACTTCCGTAGTGATACTGCCTCGGAAACCCAAGGAGGGGTCGCTATGAGTCGGGTCTGACTCGACGGCACACAACAACAACAACAATCTTTAGCAATTTCCAAGGAATTACAAGGACTGTATTGTTTATACTGCCAGTGCCTGGTGAGATATGTTGGAACAAATGTGTGTGAAAGCCCTTTGTACAATGAGAAGCATAATGAATCCCCATGGCTTCTTCATCAACCCCACTCTGAACACATCACACTGGGGTAACACACAGACGCTACACAAAATGAAGAGATGTCACATGTCCCAACAGATATTGTCCCACAAAAGCAGAAGAAAATGAATAATGGAGCAGTATGTGGATTACTAGTCGTTAGGCTTTGCTGAAAGGGTAGAAAAATAAGTAACTAGGAAAACAATGAATAAATCTGTCCTGAAAGAAGTGCAGCCGGAATGCTCCTTAGAATTGAGACTCTACTTTGGTGATGTGGTCAGGAGGGACCAATCCCTGGAGAAGGATATCATGCTTGGTAAATAGAGGGTCAGCAAAAGGAGGGAAGACCCTCAATGAGATGGACTGACACAGTGGCTGCAACAGTGGGCTCAAATACAGCAATGATTGTGAGGCAGGCGCAGGACCAGGCAGTGTTTCATTCTGTCGTACATAGATAGGGTCGCTATGAGTTGGAGCCAACTCGACGGCACCTAACAACAACAACAACAGGACAGAAATGTTCAGTTAACCACAAGAAATGTTGTGTTGTTTTAGGTGCCGTCGAGTTGGTCCCGACTCATAGCCACCCCTCCTTGGGTTTCCGAGGCAGTTTCTCTACGGAGGTAGATTGCCCAACCTTCCTTCTGAAAAGTGGCTGGTGGGTTTGAACTGCCAGCCTTCTGGTTAGCAGTCAAGTGCCTTAGGCACTACGCTGCCACAAGAAATAGGAGAAAGCAAACAAATTAAGGGTGCATTGAAGGAAAGCAGGTACCCAAAGAACCCAAAGCATTGGACAATAACCTAAACAGATTCTGCTGTTTAAAAATACTACCATTTGGTTTATTTTACTCTCAGACCATGTGCCAGACCACTCAGGGTAAAGCTTTTCATGTAATGCTACTGATACTGTCCCACCCACTGCTCTCTGTAGCAGGGGGTCAGTATTCCAAGAGGGGAATACAGACTGCAAACACAAGTTTAATAAAAGACTGGAATTCACGGATGGGGGTTACATAAAAGAAGGTGTCTAACCTTGTTGGCAACGATCATGCCAATGTGCAACCTATTTAATTCCTTCTAAGAAGCCAGCACCCTGGAATGCAGAAGGTCTGGCTGCTCAGTGTGATGGTTCTTATTCCCTTCAATTACCAAAGAGATTTCCAAGCCTCAATCAATGGCCATGTGCTTGCATTTTGGTTTAAATTATAATGTAATCAAGAACTCCAGTCCCTCTTATTTTAATTGTGTTTAGGCTACTCAACTTCTTTTCAATATCTAACAGCCGGCAGTAGAGTTTTAAATAATACTGAAAAGTCAGGGTCTGGTCCGTAGCTAATAGAATGAATCTAATTGCCTTTCACAGAAAAGTAAAATCAAGATAAATTACAACATTCAGTTAAAAATTAGTAAAACGAATACATATCTCTGTGGCTTGTACTGTATTCTAATAGGGAGGAGATGATGATTTGCATAAAGTCAAAGCAGATCACTAGATTAATGTGAATCAGCAACAGAAGTCTGCCATTTTTGTCAACTAAATCTGAAAGGTACTTTTAGGAGAGTGAAAGGACTGACAATAATCCAGCTTACTGACATACAAACTGTAAGAGCAGAATGAGTTGCCACATTGTTCGGTTTGCCCAGGTGGACTAACACAGTGAGTCAAAGCATATCTGGTTTTCCTCCAAGTTGGACAGCCAATCGTTAAGCACTTGCCTGAATGTAAAGTAGAATTGTTGTTGTGGTCAGGTGCCATCGAGTCAGCTCCGACTCACAGCGACCCCATGTACAACAAAACACAACACTACCCGGCCCTGCGCCAGCCTCACAATCCTTGCTGTGCTGAGACGATCATTGCAGTCACCGTGTCAGTCCATCTTGTGGAGGGTCTTCCCCTTTTGCACTGACCCTCTACTTTTTCAAGCATGGTGTCCTCCAGGGAATGATCATTTCTGATGATATGAGCAAAACAGATGAGATGAAGTCCAGCCATTCTCGCTTCCAAGGAGCATTCCGGCTGCACTTCTTCCAGGACAGATTTGTTTGTTCTTCAGGCAGCCCATGGTTCTTTCAGTGTTCTTCACCAACATCAAAGCTGAAAAGCATCAACTCTTCTTCAGTCTTTCTTATTCATCATCCAGCTTTCATGTGCATATGAAGTGATTGGAAATACCATGCCTTGGGTCAGGCGCACCTTAGTCTTCCAAGTGACATCTTTGTTCCTTATCACTTTAAAGAGGTCTTTTGCAGCAGATTTACTCAGTGCAGTATGACATATGATTTCTCGACTGCTATTAAGAAATAGAATTAGGCTACAAATAACCAGAAAATTATAATATGAATTACATAAAGTCAAGTGCCTATTTAATTTCCCAAGAGGAGAAAACAGTACTTTATTGGGAACGTTTGGTATGTGAGTTTTGCGTTTTCCATTCTCATTCCTCTTGTATTGGCCCATCTGTTGTCTTCTCCCTTACAGATCGCGCTGGACGCTGAAACTGTCTATCTGCCCAAGTTGGTTCAGGGCACTGGAGGTCCCTCTGGCAACTTGCAAAGCCTCTATGAAGTCTGTGTTTGTCCAGATGGAAAACTTTACCTGTCTGAGGCTGGTGTGGGTACCACGTGCCAGGAAAACAGCCATGTCTGTCTCTAAACCATCTGCATCTTCCACAGAGTACACAGCAGACTTCCAGAGAGCTTGAAAGTTCTTGACTTCCGGACGTCAAACTTCGAAAGCAATCTCACATTCTAAAGACTGAGACTGGATGGAGAGTAGGAGCACCCACTTTCTAAAGGAACTCAGAAAGAAAAATCCGCCAACAAAAACATTTGGAGAAAACTACATGGTTTCCGAATGGCATGTGGGTGTTAGACAAATGAGTCATCGAAAGAATGTGTTTATTCCACTGAGTTGATACATTTTCATCAGAACAATTAATAAACAGTGACTTTTCTAGGATTTCCTCGTCGTTTGTACATGTAAAAAATGTTGAGTGACTTGTGGAATTGATGTATGATGGCCAACTGTGAATCTCTAACTCCTGATCAAAGTAACGTTGGAAACTACTCCAGCACCTCCGAGTCCTAGGCAGTGTTTGTTTTATGTCACTTGGACCTGTGAGCAAGTTCTTCCTTGAGTATAATGCGAAATGTGTCGGGTTTTGTGAGACAATTTTTAGCTTTTGAATGCACAGAGGTTGATCTGATTTTCACTATGTGATCAAAGGAATAAATTACACAAAATCAATCATGCTTTCTTTATAGTCAATGAGCAATAAATCAACCTACATTTTTCATGGACTTCAGAGTTTTGGTTTTGGTTTTGGTTTTTCACAGTTTAAGAGTGTACTTCCGTTAACCCTTACAACCACCTTTTGAGGTAGGTGTCATTTTCCCCTAAGTTACTGGTGATAATACAAAGGCTCAGAAAGGACAAGTCACTTTCACGGTCACAAAATATCTACTGACAGGAATCCAAGATGTACTCTACATTTGCATAGACCTTTTGACTCTGCAAAACATTGATAGGTTGTCTCATAACCAAAGCCACAATCTATGTGATAACTACACCTGATGATACTTATTTGACAAATGATGAAACTGAAGCCCAGAGAGGTTTTGTCCTCCAACAAGACTGAATGGCTACTAAGTGACAGGACCCCTAACTGCCCAGCTCTGTACTACTTCTCAGGTATTCAAAAAGGTTTTGATCTACCTTCCCAGAACCAGACCTCACAGGTTTTGAAAATAAGTTTTAGTGCTAAATGGCTGTATAGGTTGCCTTATAAATCCAATAGGATATACAAAACCCAAGAAAACACAGTACTTTTTGTGTAAGACACCCACTTACTTTGTAAAGAGCCCTTCTTCATGTAAGTGGTAGGCTTTGTTTGGTTTCTGTTTTAAACCAATTGCTATAATTCAGAATCCCCAAACAACTCAAGATGTCACAGGGCCAACAGCATTGCAACTTTTTAATCATAGGACTTAGATCTATAAACACAAGGTCAAATCATTTTCTTCAGTCTCAGGAGAGAAAGTAGAAAAGTCAACTCATTTTTAATGCTGTTATAGTAAGTTCATTTAGCAGCTTAACTCAGTTGTAATGATGCGCCATTTTTAAATTGCTAGTATACATAAACATTTGACAGTGCAAAATAAAAACACAGAGGCGGGGCAAGATGGCGGACTAGGCAGAAGGATTGCACAGACCCTCTTCAACAAAGAAAAGGGAAACCAATAAATACAGACACAGAAGATAATCTTGGACCCCTGAGCCTTGAAGGAAAGGATGCAGATTTGGACTAAACCCCAACTAGCAGAAGAATT